ATATATATATGTACAGCAAATATATAGGTCTCTCCCCCTTGCTCTCTCTGCTGTGGTGATGTCAGTGTAATGTAATCTGCTGATGATGATAAGCTACATTGTAGCCACAGCTGCCCTGGGGCACACTGACAGAGGCGAGGCTGCCAGGCACTGGCGCCACCAGACCCTCTGACCACCATCAGTAGGCAAGGCAGGTGAAGTGTCTTGCCCAAGGACACAACGACTGAGACTTCTGGAAGAGGGGATCAAACCAGCAAACTTCCGGTTACAGGATGACTCCTCTAACCATCCCACCATTTTAGCTCAATTTCTGTAAAACCCCTTTGAGGTATGAAGGTTTAGAGTTGACTTTTGGGTCAGGGAGTTTTGGTGGCTATTTTGAGTCGGGTTGATTCTAAATAATATTTTGTTTAAATGTGAACTCAGTTATTATTACTTTCTGAGAGTTATGAACAATCGTTCAGTGGTTCATGAAACATTTTGCTAGCACACTTTGTATTCAAGCAAAGACAACTGCCTAATTGCCCATCTTTAAAGGCAATAGCAATGTTTATATTCACCCTTTGTGATGCAGAACATATAGTCTGACATAACTCAAGATTTCACAGCTAGAACTTTAACATAGGTGATCATGGGAATACACCATTTTCTAAATCTTGACATTGAGTGTGAAACAGCAACGTTTGACCTATCTTAGCACTTTCCTGAGGTGCCACCCAGTCTGTCTCACTGCATTAGCACACTCTGTCTATTCTCATCCTGATCCTGCTAAATGAGTTTTTCACTTCCCGCTCTTTTACAGTGAGGTATCAAGGCATTATACAGGATGGAAATGAATCAAATTATGCCAAAGAAGGGTAGAAAGTATGTCACCATCATTGTCTGAATGAATGCCTATGAGGTGATGAGAGACCAGACACAAGGAGCCATGAGAAGAAGAGTTTGTGTCAGAAATGGGCGATTTTACCAATCTGTCAACAGTATTTTCCTAACAGTATCTTTGTGATCCATGGAAGTTTCTCTGCTGTAAATTCCTCACAAGCCTTTTAGGATGCTTATGCAACTTTAACAAATCATGTTTCTGTTTARTTTCTTTTGTATGCTTTTTAAAATCAAACTACKTCCTCATCAGTTTTACTCTTTTATCAATTATGAGATAAAAACATTTAACCTGAAAAATTAAATGCTATGACTTTTGTTTTCTTTTGCTACTTTTAGTTTTTTAGTTGCTATCTTGTAAGTTTTCGATTTAAGCTACAATTTAGCTCCATTTAACATTTAACTACTGGTTTGTCAGTTGTTGCAATTGACTACTGTTTTCTAATTTTAGATATAGATTTTTAAAATGTAGTAATTTTTAGCTAAGTTTTTATCCATTTAATATTTTATAACTACAGTTTTGCTTATTTCATTTTAAATGCTTTTAAATCTAAGATTTTAGCTACTGTTTGTTAGTTTGAAATTTAAGCTACTATTTAGTCTTTTGCCTCTCAGCTACTACCAGTCTACTGATGTTTTTAATGCTACTGGTACATACACTGTCTGGATTTAACTAAGCAAACATGTACGAGCCTCCTATTGGATAATTACTGAACGGGTGATTATCTTTCAGCTGGCAACAAGTTATTTAACCCCAACTGGTGCGATGAGTTTCTTCTCATTTCAACCATGGGAAAAAGTCTGTTTGATAAGGGTCAAATTAATCAAATCCAAATCTCTGACATCAAGCAGAAAAAACATCTAAGATTGTAGAAACTACTAACATTGGGTTAAGAACTGTCCAACGCATTATGAAAAACTGGAATGATAGTGGGGACCCATTGTCATTTCAAAAGAAAGTCAAAATATTAAAGGGTCAATTTTATGTGTTTCTCATGATATATTTAAATTCTATAACATAATAAAGTATCTACATCACCTTCAGTTGTTATTAAAATGCTGTTGTTTGTGTTTAAATAGAAAATAAACGCTTCTTTTCATCATTTCCATTTCTAAACACCTTGAAATTGGCCTCTGTCTCCTTAAGAACCACCTTCCGCTTCTGTCCCACCCATTTCAACATGTGGGGGGAGGGTGTGTGTGCTGTGATATGGAAGCTCAGTGTAGTTTACTTGGCATCTGAAAATACATTTCATCAAAGGAATTTTGAATTTGAAAAATGGCTGCGCTGAGAAGTAGTATTGGGAGCTCAGCAGATAGTTTCAGTTTCACTTTCAGTTTCACCAGTAGTTTGTTTTGTTGCTGCCGAGAGCCTGTATGAGTCACAGACGAGGTGCGGGAGTTGGGGTGAGGAGGCGTGCTCCGTGGTGAGGAAGCTCAGCTTGCAGACACAGCCCAGAGGAGGAGATGATCCCAAAAGGAGGTTCTAGTCCCAACCAGTCATTTCTGCTCCCCTGCCTGGCTGCCTCAGGACACTACAGGATTTCTCAAACATGCATGAATGAGTCAAAGCAAGACTCTGGGCATGTTTTTGATAAGAGGATAACATTATAATATGATATAAGTTGATTTTACATGATATAGCCCCTTTAAGGATTATTTCTAAAAACATGTATGTTAGAAAATGTTTATATATTTTATAGACTTGGAAGATTATGTTGTTTAAGTTACAGGGATTGTGAGGTGTATCTTTTTTCATTCATTTTTATGCAAAACTCTTTCATTTTGCCAGAGTGTCAGAAATTCGAAGTGATAACAAACTGCACAAAGTCTTTAAAGTTTTGCCCCTATTTGAAGTCAGCTCTGTTTTTCTGTTAGCAAAATATCCCATGAACCACTTGGCAGATTTAAAAAAAACTTTCATGAGATAATCATTAGATGTACTTCATTAACTTTAGGAGCTAATCTAATCAAGGAGATTTTCAAAACCAACTGACCCTATAAATCACAAAAATGTCTAATTCAAATAATGATGTAAACTTTGATGTAGTAGTAGCTGARAGYCATATCCCACACATCCACTGAGAGTGACATAATACAATAACAAAGGACATTGTGCTTTAGAGTATTTTTAAGATTTGACCAAAGTAGCTCTAATTCCCTCGTTCTTCAACATAAGATGATCTTAGACTAAAACTCTGACATAAAAAAGCAATATGTGTGTCTTTTGATTTCATTTCTTTTCTTTAATTTTATCCTGAAGTCAGAAAACCACTTGGCTAAATCACATCACTACAGCATGTGTGTTACTGTACGGGCCAATAGAATAAATATCCATTCTGGAAAAGGAATGCATTGCCAGCACTTACTACATGAATCTAAGCCTGTCCAGGGGATCATTTGCCACACATTTAGTCCATGTGCTCATAGTGGCAGTTTCAACATATAATCACAGCACCCCCAAGAGGGAGACAGGTGTTTCACATTGTGAGAACAAAGCCTYGCCCTTTCATTCTGCCGCTCTTATGTCCTTCCAGCATCCTCCTCTACTGCTCACACAAGTGTGGCTAAGGGACACTTGCTTTGCTCTCTTGGGATGTCAGTGTAATGTACTGCAGGCTTGAAAGGAGAGCAGTGGAGATTGGAAGAATTGCTGTTTACTGTTTTCCTAGCTGTGTRTTGTGGGAATTTCAGACTGATAGAAGGGAGTTCCATGCTGAACTGACAGTGACACATGGATGCTTCTCAGATTTAGGAGAGACACATCTCCTCATCCCCACAGAGACGAGCTCAGACCAAAACTAAATCMTGTTATTGTAGCTATGCAGCATAGCTTGCTGTGTGCTTTATCCCTCATATCCTTCTATTAACTCAGCCTGACACATCCATAAGGATGATGGAAGGCTTGGCTTTTTCCAATGTTATTTGCTCGCCTTGACAAAATGAATAGAGCGGCGTGTTTTTTATCAAATGTGTCTGAATCTTAATGTGTGTTTCAGAGCCGACCATCATCACTACCCAGCCCTCTACGCTGGACATCACAGTCGGGGAAAGTGTAGTCCTACCCTGTCAAGTGAGCCACGACCCATCTCTGGAGCTCAAGTTCACCTGGTTCTTCAACGAACAGCTCATCCACTTTGGGAACCACGGTGAATTCTTTGAAAAAGTGGGGGGTGTAAGTCCTTTCATTATCTTTCATACAGTAGATCCTGCCAAGCCACAGTACTATCAGGTTAGAATTTTTAAAAGTTGCTGTCATGTTGTAAGTTGCTAAAATTAGTTTTTTACAAACAAAGATTTTATGATTAATTTCAATAATTTTGTTGAAGTTGGATTAATTATATAACACAAAACATAAAAATAAGAACAGGAACTGGGTGCACAAGTTTGAGTTAACTGTGAAGCTTCTCTAATCCACTCAGTTTTATAAATCAGACTCAATATTATACATTTTACAAAATCTTTCACTGTAATAAGTGTTGCTGAAGGTACTAGAAGGCCAAGGTCTAAAAAAGATTTGCTAGGTCACCATGCTTGACTCTGGTTAAAAGATTTTCCTTTGCTAGGGTAAAAATTAGGGATGCACAATAGATTGACATTAACATCAGTATCAGTCATTTTAGAACATCTGTATCGAATATCAGTCCGATAATTAGAACTGGGCCAATATTAACGTCCAATATTGATTTCCCAATTTTTAGCTTTTTGTTTCTGTTTTGGGAGGGGAGATGGTTGGTCGAGTGGTCTCTGTTTGATCATGATCATGATAGTGATGCTGCACAGACCCTGCATAACTGAAATGGAGCCATGTCAGAGGGCCGGTCATTTGTTTTACAGTATCCAAAAAAGGCACAAGTGTATTTGTGTGTATATATATGCATATAAATAATTTGTGTGTTTGTGTAATATCAGTAAATATTAGTTATTGGCCATAACAGCAATAATTATATGGGATATCAATATCAGCTCAAGTTTTCAAATCAGTGCATCCTTGGTAAAAATAATAAGTTTCACCCTTACTTATTGGATTGAACAGGAAAATCCAAAGAAGAGATAGATCGGCTCAAGGCCTGGAAGTCAATACATGTGTGGAAATGATATAAAGGGTGGGTCGGTCGGTCGGTCAGTAGGTATGATAGATAGATAGATAGATAGATAGATAGATAGATAGATAGATAGATAGATAGATAGATAGATAGATAGATAGATA